TGTCCCTCTGCTGCCCCCTGCAGGTCAGACTCTGTACGGCAGGGTTTTGTGGAACCCTGAGCAGAACCTGAACGCAGCCTACAAACTGCAGCTGGAGAAGGTTTACCTGTGCACCGGCAGGGACGGATATGTTCCCTTCTTCGACCCCACGGGGACTCTGTACAACGAGGGGCCGCAGTACGGCTGCATTCAACCCAACAAACACCTCAAACATCGCTTCCTGCTGCTGGTACAGATTTATTTAAGTTTTCCGGTTTGAAAAAAGCGACTACATTGTTTCTGGACATGTGCTATCATTTCCTCTCTTCATGTTTCCTCTGCAGGATCGTAAACAGCCCGATGTCTGTGACAGATTTTTCCACGACGTTCCTTTCGAGGCTCACTTTGCCTCAGACATCCCAGAGCTGCAGTCCATGACGGCCATGCCAGGTGTTGACGGCTTCACGATGAAGGTTGATGCGCTCTATAAGGTGTGTGGAATCAGAAGCAGCACATGTGGTACAGCGCTGTCTAGCACAGCAATAGTGTGTTTGTGTGTGTGTATATATATCTGATGTGAGCTGTTAATATGTAAGTTTGATTACAAGAAAGTAATAAAGATTTAGTCCAGAGAGTAAAGACTTCTTGTTCAATGAGCCACAGCAGCTTTGAACTTTTGGAGATGCTTAAAATAGTTACTTTGATAAAATCTCAATCAGTAACAAGAAGTTTGTGATATGGCAATGAAAGATCAGTTATATTGTAACAGAATACTTAGAATCTGTGGGCAAGTGATGAAAGTTTGATATCAAAAGCTGGTAAATATAAATTTCTTGAAATGCTGAAGTCTGACAGTTTAGCGTTCCTTAAGCTTTTGCATTCATAAACAGTGACCCGCAGACAGAACAGGAAATCGTATCCACTGTTCAGATATCTTAGCTTGACCAACGTGTAGAAGGAGGCTCGCAACATTCACAAAAAGAGTGGGTGTGGGAACTGCAGTAGACTCAGAGATTTAGAGCTTTTTACTGTCATTGTGCAGTTTCTTGCACAGCGAAATTGGGTAGCTGGACCACAAAGGTGCTAAAGTAAGAAGAAGAGAAACCAATATACAATGAAGGGGGAAAAAAATATAATAAATAAAATAAAAAGCAGTGTATATGTATACATATATGTGAGTGAAACTATATACATGGTGTATGTGTAAGAAACATTGAAACAGACTGGGACCAACATAATTGCACATGAGCCAAAAATATTGCACAGAACATGGAAAGACTGAAATATTGCACATAGATGATCAACAGCAGTGTCAGGGTGGATGTGCTGGGGAAGTCTTTACACACTCTTAGTTTGCATTAAGAGTTCTGACAGCTCACAGGAAGAAGCTGTTCTTTAGTCTGTTGGTTTTGCACCTGATGGATCGTTTTCCAGAGGGTAGGATGTTGAAGAGGTGGTGGTTAGGATGGAGGTGGTCCTTTATAATTGCCCTGGCTCTGGAGAGACATCTTGAGCTGGCAATTAAGTCCAGGGAGGGGAGTGGACAGCTGATCGCCTTCTCTGCAGTTCTGATGACCCTCTGTAGTCTCTTCTTGTCAGCTGTTGTGCAACCAGCGTACCACGCAGGGATGGCGTGCACCAGCACACTCTCGATAGTGGCACGGTAGAAGGACACTAGGAGTTCAGTCTGCAGCCTGCTCCATCTCAAAACCCTCAAGAAATGGAGGCGCTGCTGGGCTTTCTTTACTAGGGCTGATGTGTTTGTGGTCCAGGATAGGTCCTCGGATATGTGGGTGCCGAGGAACTTTAAGGAGGACACCCTTTCCACATAGTCACCTTTTATGGATAGGGGAGGGGGATCAGTTCTTGCTTTGTGGAAGTCCATGACCACTTCTTTGTTTTCTTGGTGTTTAGGGTGAGGTTATTGTAGTTACACCATTCTGACAGTCGCTGGACCTCATTCCTGTAGGCGGTGTCATCATCGTTGGTGATGAGCCCCATCAGAGTGGTGTCGTCTGCAAATTTGATGATGATGTTGCAGGGGTGCGTAGGGGTGCAGTCACTGGTGTAGATGGTGTATAAGAGTATAAGTTTACTTAAGTAAAAGTACAGATAGTTCTGCTAAAAGTATTCTGGTGAAAGTTGAAGTACTGATTTAACTTCTTTACTCAAGTAAAAGTGAAAAAGCACAGTCTCTGAAATGTAATCAAAGTATAAAAGTAAAACTTTTCTCTTTGGAGGATATTTGCACCAGCTGTTCTGTGCCTCTGGGGCGCTGTAGACCAGCTGGATGGGTCCAGATTTATTGATCTGCATATTCTACATAATAATTTGTGAACACTGAATGTACTTTACAACAAACTGTGCAGCTAACATGATCCTCTCTTTCTGGGGATTGACAGGTGGAGGCGGGGCACCAGTGGTACCTGCAGGTAATTTATGTGATCAGCCCCGAGTCGCGGTCCAACCCCAGGATTCAGCGCTCTGTGACGTATCAGCTCAGCCGTTCTAAACGTGACCTGGTGGATCGCAGCGGCCGGCTGACGCTCGACGAGTCGCTCATCTACGACAACGAAGGAGATCAAATAAAGAACGGCACCAACATGAAGTCGCTCTACCTGGAAGCCGGGCCCTCCCCCACCTTTAACGCCCACGTGGGCAGCTCCGTGGGGGGAGGTGTGGCCGCCATCACCCTGCTGGTCCTGGTCCTGCTGGCCTCCTGCTTCCTGTTCCGCCGCTGCCGACGGTTGGCCAAGAAGAAGAGCAAGAAGAAGGAACCAAAAATCTACGAGGAGTATCCGCTCAACACCAAAGTGGAGGTGTGCATGGACAAGTGTGTGGAGAAGAACTTCGGCACCAAGCACTGCACGGTGAGAAACATCAACGTCCTGAACCGCAACCAGGAGGCCAACAGCAAGGCCAAGGTCAAACAGGTCAACCTGGAGGTCAAACTCCACAACAACCTCAACGACGGCACTGAGGTCTGAAACGCGTGACGAGGAAGGCGAGGAAAAGGTGAAAGTGGAATTTTAAAAAAAGGTATTTTCTAAAAGAAAGTTTGTACTTATTGGAACGAGAGGTTAATGTATTTTTATACCACGTTGAAAAAGGGAAGAGTGTGACGCGCAGGCGACTGGGCTACCTCAGGAATCCATAAAACACACAGCTGTGTGAAACAGCCAAAACATCTGCATCAGATCAGCCAAACTTCACCTCAAACTGTGTTCATTTCATTACTGTGTTACTTGACATTTGCAGCCTTTTTAGCACCAAAATGGTGAACCGTAGCTCAGACACTGGTGATTGTTTTTGTAAGAAAACAAAAAAACATTAAAAAACTCTTTCTGCTGCATTTAGTCACGTCACTGCTATTCATGTCACTGCTGTGGAGGGGGAGCCAGTGTAGAAGTCCTCCTTCAGCTGAACGATGGGATCAGAAAGTCCTAGAACAGGCCTTTTAAATGTCTCCCTTTCAAGATCATCTTCTGGAGCATAACCAAATCTTTATTTTAAAATTGCTCCTCGAGCTCCTGCTACATCACTACGTACTGTTCATGTATTTCCTGATGGATGGATCCTCCACCCTTGGGTAGATGTGGGCATCGAGCTCCTACATTTCTGCAGCATGGTTGGAAAATTGTTGGAATCCATTGACTGTAGGTCAAATATCAATGACCAGTCTGGCGGTCGACCAGGAAAAAGAATAGACAGTTAATGAGAAAAGTGCTTCTGTTCCAAACCATAAATGTCAGTGCTGCAGTCCCGGATGCTCATGCAACTACCCCAACTTCACAGTAAGACTACAACTTTGTGATGACTAGCAGTAGTGCTAGCAGCCCTGTTGTTGAGGAAAAGAGTGCCTGATTGTTGAATACATTCACCATTTTCCACATACACACAGTTCAAACAGTCAGCTCCTGCCATGAAGAGCTGTTTTTCTTTAAATGCAGAGGAACGTAATAAAAACTGACGAGTTAAAACCAGAGACCCAGCTCTCGTCACCAGCAGCAGGTTTTCCAGACATCATTCTCCTCAGAAACACTTCCCACTTCCTCCTGCTGATCTTGAGGCGTTCCTGAGCTGGATCTCTCCAATTAGTTTTGGGCGTACCCAGTAAACCTCCAATAGTTGGTAGGCAGTCTCCAAACCTCAGCTTCTCCTCTGGTCTGAACCACATCGCACATATTAGGAGTCAAATCATCTGTTTCATCATCAGATGATCATCAAAAGGCTTCACAAAGCCAGTAGAGAGCTGCTTGTGTCAGGACGCCTGTCAGTTATTGTGGCCACGCCCTTAATTCCAATATCCAAAAACACACAAAACAATTG